TCAGTTTTAATATGGTTAGGCAAAAGTTCGGTTGGAACATAAGCACAATAGCGACTGAAATGCTGCACATTAGAGTTAGACATATTGCACATTTATGTGTGACAGACCGCGCATCTATATATATAATTGTTGGCAAGCTTCATTTAATTTTATTCAGCCTTCAATTAATAATAATATGAGTTCATTTAATAAAAATAGGTTGTATTTAATAAAAAAATTTATGACCTCCATCCAAAAACTGTTACAATATTTTTTTCTTTTAATTTATTCCATACAATCATCTACATATTTTTTACTATATTTTGGATTTGTAACGTTTGCATGCGATTACCATTTTTTATTTCTCTATATTTGGAGAATATGGTTACGAGATAATGTTTAAACCCTTAAATTTGAATGGTTAAAAATATTTCTTTTATTAAATTTGTATGTTGACTATTTTTTTTTTCTTTTTCCAAAACGACAGAGGTACTATTATAAATCAAAAGCGCACGAATGTGCGAAACAAAGATACAAAGCTCCCAACGGGAGAAAAGTGGGAGGACATGTCCGAAGACCGCCTAGAGTCCCGCTAGCAAAGATAGAATAAAACTCGAAACTAAACAGACCAACTACACAACCAACTAAACCAACTAAAACAGCGAAAAACTAAAAAGACCCCAACAGGGTAATACCCGAGTGTCAGATCTCAAAGAGATAATAAGTTTGACACTCGGGTTCACAGGGGCCAACGACCCAAACCAAAAACACAATCCTACAAACACAAAAAACAGAAGAACAAAACAACCAAAAAACAAAACAAAAACCTAAAAAAATGAACAGCCCTCCCCCGGCAAACGATCAATCCCCACCAGCTGTGATCGATCGACACAAGAAGCAGTCCCAGTCCGAGAAACCACTACCGAAACTGCGGCTAACCGCCTATACAAGTAGCCGAGACCGAGCCCTGAACCAATCCCCGAATCGACCCACCTCCAACCGAGAAAAAATTCGGCCAAATCCCACCAGCTCAACCGTAGCTCGTCTAACACCACTAGTCGAACCACGGTGAACCAGGTCCCTGAACCCCCGCCGTCTCTCACCACTAGTCGGGTCAAAGGGGAGGAGGGGAGATGGCACGGATCCTCAACCCCGACCGAACAGCAGCAGAGGCCTCTCCCCGTTCTCGGACCACCCACCACCAAAACAACCGCAGCCTCAGCAACCCACAACCCGTCTCCACCGGAAGCTCCACCGGAAAACAGAAATTCACGGAGAAGCCAAACAAAACCGAAAATCAGCGAGAGAGAAGGCTTACCACCTACCAACGAAGACCAGCCAGTGACCGGGAAGCAGGGCCACCAATAACCAACCGGAATCCGACTAAGAAGGAAGCACCGTCTTTCTCTATTCCGTCTTCGATTGAGGGTTGTTTCGCACCAAACTGCCGCAATATCGGAGCGCAAAAGGTCCAGAACGGGAGGAGCGGCTAGGGGCGACCGCCAGTCGAGCCCCACCGGCGCCGAAGGAGGCAAAACGACGTCAATTTTTAGCGACGGATTAGGTTACAATTTTCCCCTTTTCTTACGCAGAGAGAGAACAGATCCAAAAAAATTGTATGTTGACTATTAACATGCAAAAAAAGTATGAAGTATTGATATACTAGAGATACACGCAAAAAAATATAAGAAAAGTCATATTTGTAATAGAGATCTTTACACCAGCTCATTGAAATTCAAAATTTTCATCCAAGATTGTACAATATATTAGTTGAACTTAATGAAAAATTATTATCCATATTATTTTATATAATAGATATAGTGATGAATTTGAATACTTTTATGATGTTCATTTTTACTAACGACAAATTTTTTAAAATGTGATACTATTATTTAATATAAAAAAAATCAACCAAACTAACTAAAACTTTGGGTTTGAAATTTTATATTCCGGTTCAATTGTTAGTTTTTATTATTTTTATACTCAAAAGAACTCAGTTATTTCAGTTTTGAACTCAGTTATTATTTTCATTTGCACATTAATGTTTTTCCTAAATGTAATAGGAATAAATTAATGTTTTTTTTTCCTATATCCCTTAGAATTAGGTAACCTAGATACGATGGGGGTAAACAAATAATCGTTAGATGAAAGTTGGATGATTCTTGTGCAGTGACGGAGCGGGTCCACGGGCACCCTGATATTTTATTTTTTAATTTACATAAAAAAATACTATAAAGTATTTATAATATATTAGTAATTATTATTTATGCTTATTTAAAAAATATACTAACAACCGTTACATTTTAGATAAATTTTTGAAAATATTCATAA